TTCCTTGAGCGGAGGTTTGGAATTAATAGTCCAAACAACAACAAGCACCCTACACTGAAATCAAGACCGGAATAAGGTCTGATTGAGGACTTGTTTGGAAAACGGGGTGTTGAAAGGAGGAGCTGGGTTCCCTGAGTATTTTCGAAAGCACCCCCAAAAAGTGGTCTGAAATTAAGTTGTGCGGTATCGACAGGTTCTGACTTTTATCACACATGAAACAGGCAACGCTGACTTTTCGCCATAGCCACGAGAGCCATGTGGGGGCCGTAGCCCACATTCTTTCATGGCGCGCGACCAATGGCCACCATTTGTAAATTTGGTCTTAACCTCCAAGCCGCTGTGTCTCCGAATCAAAATGTGGGAGTGTTTTGGAGGGCACCGCTTTCAGGTGGGCGTGAAGGGAAACGAAAGGAAACCCGCAATCCGTTTTGGAAAGGGCCCTCAGATGCCCAGTGGCCATGGGAAAAAAGGGTATCATTTTTTGTTGGTTGAGTTTAAAAGAAAACCCTTACCCAAAGAAAGGAAAAAAGGGCACCACTGAGCAACAAAGGGCCGCCTTCGACACACTCCCCTACACCAAGGAGCGCAGGATCTTAAAGGCCAAGATGCGTCGTAGCGCTCTGCCTGCGCGGCGAGCTCGGCAAGGTACACCTCCTTGTCCTCAGCTTGGAGTGAAATGGCTGTGGCTCAAAATTAAGGAGCTAGGGCAAACCGCAGGTTTTACTCTTTGGTTCCATTTACCCAGGGGGCCATTTTGGTACATTTATTTAAGTCACAGGCAAATTTGAAAGCCTCCCGTCGCCTTCTCACTTCCGATGGGTGGCCAACAGAAGTCAACTGGGACTTGAGGAAACCAAAAGTCAGATCCAGTCCATTCGGCTTGGACAAGTCAAATGTTGTTTACCACTATTGTATATCCGCTCACTGGGGTAGGGTCGTAGGGTATCGAAAAAACAACTTGTTTGCCAATCAACAAAGCTTGTTTTGTTTTTGATGGTGGTCGCGGGGTCAAGTGGTCACAACGCCAGCAAGCCGAGCGGCTCGCTGAGTCAGCATGGCTCTTTCGCTCCGAACGAGGGCTCGGACGGCTCAGGTTGAAAAAACGTGCGGCGGGTCCACGCGGTGCAAACTCGCCCCTCCAATAACCCAAACATATGCCTGTGGGTCAAAACCAATGGTACCATTTTGGGGTAGGCGCACCACCCAGTGTAGTTTTTTTTAGTGGGGATTGGGATGTTCACTGGGGGTACGATTTGGGTTTTGACCCATGGCCATATGGAGTCCCTAAGAGGGGTAGTCCAAGTGGGGGGATGCCCAAGGGCCCCTAAGGCTCTCTAAGGAACCCTAGGAAACGCTCCCCCTAGGGAAAAAGATAGCGCACACCCTCAAGCAACAAAAGAAGGCACGTGTCATGCCTCCGGCCCAATCTTGCTGGAGAAGCCGGTTCAGACAGGGATCCCTATATTTCCCCTTAAAGCTTTCATGGGCCACAAAGGTGATGTCTAAAGTCACCAAAAAGGGGAAATATAGGGATCTCTGATGGGAACTCACATGTCCAACTTATTCCAACTTCGAATGAAAACCCATGGAATAACTTTTGAAGTAGGGACTATGATAAAAACCCAATGTGGGGTACCATCGGTGGTCCCGAAACTACAACCTGTACCCCGCTCACTCCCCCGCGCAACGAGTCCAGGGAGTTGTTGCTTGCTGCTATGATCCAAAACAGCCATGAAGCCCGGAATCTCAGGAGATGTAGGGATACCGGGAATACACAAGTTTCCAGAGATGAAAGAACCGGGCGCAGAACTACTGATTCGGTCCAACTAAAACACCAAGTCCAAATTTGTGATTTGGGTGTTTCTGAAACAGGATCGTTGGTTTCCTTTTCGCCTCCCTTTGAATACCAGCCAAGTGAGGGCCCACGATTTCGATAAACTACCATTTAGAGCCCTGGGGAATCACAGGACTGAATGGCTCATGTTGAGCCACGGCTCTCAGTCGTTGTGGCTGCCCCCTGTGCAACCGGTTGCTAGTGGCCAAACAGACATCTTCCCCCAAGAGTGCAAAAGAGCACAAAAGGGCTAAAGACGTTGCAACCAAATAGCAGCCAAGACGAGCCATTTTGGCTTTCCGCGAAGCTCGCCACGCGTCAAGAGCCTGATGGTATTCCTGCCGCTCGGCTGGGCCCCGCGTTCAGACCCTTAAAGCGTCTGCCGGACAAACTGTTCAAATCATGATGGGTTGATATTCTAAAGGAAACGCATGCAAAGATGTTCCGTGCATGTTGTTGCAGAAACTTCGAGACGTCTTCGTCTCCAACTGATACGTAAAAAAAGCGTCTGTCTGATATCTCGGATCCGCCCAATCCGATCGCCAGATCACGATCCAAACGATCGCGGCACGTCCGCTGCGAGAACTGTTCTGCAGCCGAAGGCTCGGGCCTTGTGCGGTGAGCCCAGTGGATCCTAGTCATCACTGTTGGTGTAGAAACAACTGACACATTTTCGCAAAACGTTGTTCGCTCCTTTTCAGACTTTAACCGACCGGGCTTGCTGACCAGTCCGCATAAGGCAAGCAACTAGTTCTGGTAGTTAAAGCATCAGGCATCAAACGTGCCCCAGCCCCGTTCCGTGTGACGGAGCAAATTACTCAGCACCCCTTGGCTGTGAAAACTGGGCCCTCGCTCCAAAGGGAATGGAGGGTGCAAAAGGATGTAAGCCATGTGCCACAGGCCAAACTCTGACTCCGCTTGAAACGTCCATGCTTCAACCAGGTATCCTGTGACAGGTATCTCACGGCAACTAACGTAGCACCAGACATGGCGTCCTTGAAGAGGACACCAATCTTCCAGGTACCCCTCCCAGAGGTGCCATGTTAGTGAAAGGGAGGGTATCTGACAGCAACTGCTCGCATGATCTGACTGAAATGAGTCTCATCCTCACTCTCTGGAATTAATGCATTGGTGGTGCGCGCGGGTAAACATCGCACTCCTATTGCCTCCCATGGATGCAATGAACCCAATTGCCCTCTGACACGCACCATCCGATTTTAGAAATCAGTCCGGTCGGGGAGATGAACTTCGGATTAATAAGCTCCCAAATCCATCAGGCAGGCTGAATGAATCGACGCATCCCCACCCCAAAATCAGGGTGCGCTGTAAAAATAATCTTCATTTTTCTGGGCATTGGTTGCAAACCAAATAGAAGCCATCAAACACCAGGCTTGGTTGCAAACCTTTTTGAATGAGCATATGACATCCAAGACGATCCCTTTGAAGGGTCCCAAGGTCTGGTGCTTCGGAAATGGGGTTTCCCATCCAAACTGTCGCCACGAATTCAAACCACGTTTTGGAAGGAAAGCTGATGCAACTTGCCACCTATAGTTAACCTTTGCCATCATCCTCAGCAACACGCCGTGTGGCACACCCTCGGCCCTTCGCTCCGCTAAGTTCCCTAGGCTCAGGTTGCAACATGCTGCGCACCTGCCACGGACCCGCCTGGAACGAAAAACAATTAACACGGGGTGCAACAAAGAACGGCACTCGGATATCACGGGGTCCACGAGCACCATCCACAGCATTGATCACACTGCCGCAACCCAACAGGACCCAACAGCACTCAACAGGACCCAACAGGACCCAAAACAATCTTTCGTGCTCGTGGTTGGATCATCGTTTTGAGGCTCCGAGCAGCAAAAACCAAGGTACCGGTTCCGAGCAAATATCAAGGTAATGCGTGTGCAACAAATGTTCAGCGCCTAGAACAAAGCGAATCCGTCAATCAAGCACGCCATCGAGGTCTATCAGTGCGAGAATTCCAATACCAAAAATGTGGGACTCGGAGCCCCGAGTCAAGGACCTTTTCTCGGTTGCTTTCTGCTCCCCTGCTAAGAGTTTAACTTTTCGTGGTTTAATACGGAAAACCCAAATTCGTTGGCAAAAAGTTGTTCAGTCCTAACATCCAAGCAAAATGCACCAAAGTTTTCTGGGCTCCGCTATAATTGTTGACCCCCCGGATCGGCGAACCGCTCGCGAGCACCCCCCTGCCATAGGTCACCTTGGCCGTGGTTTGGAGGTGGCTTCCCTTCAAATTCAGACCGCCCATCCGCCTGAAAAACATGTGCGGGCGGGGCCTGGTCGGATTCTGGGCCTGGCAACTGCTGGCTCGAGTCGGTGTTGGTTGAGTTCTTGTCGGTTTCTGTCCGCTCAGCCAGAAGGGCCACCCAAATGCAAGCGCCACACAACAACAGTGGGTCAAAAGAAATCCGTGGTACAGCTCTTCTCACATTTCCTCTTTCAGAGCCAACTCCCAACAAAAAAAAAATCGAGCCATCGCCAGTGCAGCCCAGTACCCTTGGTGTTTATCACCTTCCCATGGCTCAGCGGCTCGCCTCACGAATTCGAGCGATTTCCCGGGCTGAGGCTTGAACCAGTTCAATCCAAGTTCCCCATTGGGGGGGGGGGGGAATGGACATAAAACAAAAAAACGGTTGGCTATGCATCCGTTTGCACCGGGGAACCACCGAAGGGCCGCCCAAGTCTTGCCGGGCTCTTGGCATTTCTAGTCTCGTAGCCTGCCTGTTTCCTTCAAAGCCAAGACGGCAAGATTGGATCTTTGTGCCAGAAAGTGCCCTGGAACACGTCCGCGCTACTTTTGGTTCACGTGTCCAGCTCATCTTGGCTCAAAATAGCATGCACGGCGTCTGTCTTGGACAACCGCCATGGCACCTAAACTGAGCTTGACAGGCAGTGACGCACATCGTGCTGTGAAAAAAACCGCGGCAGCTCCTGCTTTGGGCTCGCTGAGCGGAAGCCCTGCGGCCGAGCCCTTTGAGCTCCTTTGGACCTCTTTGGGCATCTATAGACATGGATTCATAGCTGTGGCTCTCAACAAACCGGTACCAAAATGGAACCCGGTAAACCTGGTAAGTGGAAACATGCTCCAAAACCTGCGCAACCCCTGCTGCTTAATTTTGAGCCACACCCATATCACGGCACATCAGGCCGCAATGCCATAGTTGCGCTCCATCATCAGAGGCCGCGACAAGACCTGGCTGTGGGTCAAAAATATGTACCCAAACTGAAACTCTGGCAAATGGAAACATGGACTAAAACCTGCGGTCCATATCCTGGTGGACTAATTTTGACCCATACCCACCTTGTTCTGCAGCTCCTGGATGTGCTGCCGTTGTTTCAGCTGCTCGGCGGCCATCTCCTGCTTCAACTTGTGCGCCTTCCCCTCGAGCGCTGCAGCTGCGTCCGCCACCAGGTCATTGGAGAAGAGGGGCTCTCGGTTGGCTTGCTTGGTCAGCATCCTCACACATGCCCAGTGTGGACCCAGAAACGCAAGGTGATCACCTGTTGGGACTTCTACCAAAAATAGACCGAAACTGGAAAAAACAAAAGGAATCCTATTCGCTGGGCTTAATCCGAGCATCTCATCGCGCTTCCGGAAATACTCAGCGGCAATGCTTGCCATGGCCCTCTTGCGCTCCTCCAAGATCTCCTGCTGCCTCTCGGCATTATCCGGCGGATTGCGGAGGCAGGCGGACAACGGCGACACCGCCGCGGACTTCACGTGCCCGGCTTCCACCGCGTCCCGGATGCGATCCTTCTGGGCTTTCTCGAGGTCCCTCAACTCCTGCGTCTTCCGCTCCACGGCCCGAGCCAATCTCGCATCGAAGGAGGGGCTGTTGTGCAAATCGTACCTGGGCTGTGGACCCGTTTTCAGATCCGCGAGAAGTGACGAAGTGCTCGTGGATTAAATGGAAACCCCCACTAAAGACCAAAAAAGAAAAAAACTCAGGAACCGGATGGCTGGGAAACCACCAAGATGCAAGGTCTGACGCTTCTGGCAGCCTTTTGCTGCGCACTCTTCCAGGTGTTCCCAGCGCTTTTTCTCCTCCGCCTGCAGCTCTGCTTGTCGCTTGCGGCGCGCTTCAGCCAGAGCTGTCTTGGCTGCAGAGACGTCTTCGGTCCTGAACCTAGGCTCGAAAACCCGGACCCCAGTAAAAAATCACCTTGTTGCCAAACAAAGGGACCCCAAAAAAGCAAAACACCTCGAAAAGGGGAGCTACTTCTGGGAAAAGGAGCAAGGGCTCTCGGGTGCGCATCTTCTCCAAGATTTGCCCTCGCGTAATGTGATAGGATCGGACTTTGTCTTCCATATCCTTGACACGTTCTTCCTGCCTCTGTGCCTGCTTTTCGGCGAAGGATGCTAGTGGGGCCGAGCGCAACGCCAGCAATGGCGAGTACACCTGCTGCTTCTCTATCCCCTTTTCCGTGGCTGCTTTGATAGCTTCCCTCTGCTCTTTCTCAATGGTTTTCATGGCCTGGACCTTTTTCGCCTTCTGCTCCTGCAGCCGATCTTCCCACGATGCACCCGTTCGCCCCAGCACCTGCTCCTTCACCCGGCCCCTGACGCTCTGCTTCATCTCATGGTGCCAAGGGGTGAGCACCGGAGCTGATCTCATTGCGGCTGTCCCCTTCAAGGGGGCCACAAAGTGCACAATGTGCTTGAGCCAAGGTGCGTGTGCGCAGGTTTGGAAAAATGCTTGGAATCCCCCCGAAACAAAATGAATTGGCTTCCATTCCAAAGGGGGAAGCCAAAAAACATATCCTGGTTGCTGTTGACTGGCGCTTCTCAAGTGGTGCATGCAGAGCTCCAAAAGTGAAGGATCCCATCTAAAAGGGGACACCCCAATAAATCAACCAGGGCTTTGCCTGATAATCGAGTCGCCCAGTGCGAGACAAGGCAAGCCTTTTTCAGGCTTCATTCCGTCTTTGTGTTGATGGGGAACCCGCAACCAACAAAAAGGGACTTTTTCTGGTTGACGAGGCATCATCTTAGGCTTCATCCCAGTCCAAACTTGACATTTCTTGAGGCAAGAGAGCCAAGGACCGGAATCACAACACAAGCCCCGCCTTCAGCTCTGCTCCGGAATAGTGGTCACGGGCCCATAGTCGTAGACCACCTCCCGGTGGGAGGACCAGCCTCGATCGAGGAAAAACGGCGTCGCGGCCCGGTACTTCCGATGGAGTGGGCTGGACCAATTGAATCCCCACCCTCGTACTTTCCGTGTACCTGCAGTCTCCGTGACCCTTTAAAAATGGGGTCATCACCCAAAATTAAGGGGTCATGACCCCTTTTTCTAAGGGTCAGAAGGAGACTCCATGTATAGCGATAGATTCCCTTTAAACACCAACCAGGGAAGATCGTGCTAGGCAAACGGAAGCGCTTCCGTCAAGGCCCGGGCTCCAGTGGCCATGGGGAAAAGGCCCCCCTTGTGGTCCGCTTCAAAAAGAAGTCTTAGGACATCCGAGGGAAACTAACTGAGTTGCCCCTGTAAAACCCATAAATAAAAGGTGATCACCTTTGCCATGACTATAAACATGGAAACCAAACGGAAACCAAAAAGGTCAGATCCGCTTTGGGCAAGGGAGGAAAAGGAGGTGATTCAGAGCCATGAAGAAAGAGGCCCCCCTTAAGGTAGTTCCCTCAAAAAGGAAGCCATCCAGGTCGTAGGACATCTGAGGGAAATTCAACGGATGTCCCTTTGAGCATGGGGAAAATGCGTTGTGAGCCTTGGCGTGGGCTAAGCCAAGCCCAATCCGAGGTGCACAGCTGGATGGCGTGCTTCGTGTGGATGCCTCCGACATCCCGATCGGCCGGGATTTCGACATGTGAGCGCTGAACGGAAACAAAGGGAAAGCAAAGGAAACTAAAGCCTGGAGTCTCCATGACCTGTTAAAAATGGGGTCACGACCCCTTTATTTTGGGTAATCACTCCATTTTTGAAGGGTCATGGAGACTCCAGGAAGAGACCAAAGGACACACAGTGGATCCATTTACCTGTATCAGACCAAGGAAACCGCTATTAAAACCCAAAGGGAAAATTGTTGGATACCTACTGTAGTAACTGGGATCCAAAGGTAAAAGAAACCAAACCAATTTTCTAGCCTGGTGATTTGGTCACCTTTTCGTGGCTAGTAGCCACAAGCAATCTTCCATGGTGGACAGGAGGCCGTTCGAAGATGGCGGTTGTCTTCCATGACTGTGTCCAAATCCCTAGCGCCGCTCGATCTCCATTTGCACCAATTTGCCCATACACGCTTGCTCATCCCTGACATCCCAAATAAAACGGGTCCCCCGAACATAGCATGTTCGCCCACGGGCCCACATCTGGAGTACTCTCCAAAATCAACATGCTATATTTGTGAGCCTACCCGGACATATAAAACCGTTTCGGAGAAGATCCCTTAAATAAGGTTGTATCTCTCCAAAGCCGCTCCGACCGACTCTGACCCCTCTTTGACCAAAATGGGCTTGCTTGAACCGATGGACTAAGGCACAAGGCATCTCACAGCTTCGGGTCTCACAACAAGGGTCCCTCCCAGTTTGGGCACCCAGTTGGAATCTCACCTTTGTTCGCCCTCCAAACTAGGTTGGACTTTGCATATTATGATTTTTTGGGTTTTGTTTTGGTCTAGTCCGTGGACATGGCAACTTGCAAGAGTCAAATGGCTGAAGGCAACGCCAAAGAGCAACCAGGAAGAGTGGGAACCGCAATCTTCACTTCTTGGAGCCACTCTTGATACATTCGCACTGGACGAATCTCGAATGGGCCCTTCTGATCGAACTGGGTTGATTTCAAAGTGAACCAACGCAGTGTACCCCTCCGAACCCTCGGTTTTCAGGGTTGTATGAGACGTCAACCCAAGGGCAGGCTGAAAGCTGAGCCGCTGCCACGCCCTACCCCCGAGGTACAAGCCTCCAGCCTCGAGGCCGGCGTGTGGGAAAAAGATATACTTTCCACAGAAAACCGTTTTTCCCAGCAAGCAAAGCAGGTTTGCTTTACCATGCAAAACGGGTTGTTTCCAAATGTACACAGCTGATGGAGTAGGGGTCTTCACTCACGTGTCCAAAAAGGAGCTTACAGTCGACTCTTCAAAGCCTAGAATCCACACCAACCGACGCGCCCCGCCGACATCCGGACCCACTCCAAAAGGCGAAATGCAAGGGCACATAAATACACGTTAGGAAGGGTCCCAAATCATTGGGCTACAAACTTTCCTTGCACTTCCGAAGCAGGGCTGACGCAAAACATAATTGCCGTCTACTCCACTCCAAAACCGTAGCTTCTGATTCTGAAACAGTTTCAGCACAAACAACAATAAGATTTAGAGGAGGCCTTCGGTTTCTCTTGCCTTGTTTAGGCCCCAGCCCCGACGCATGCCGCCTCCGGCGCGGACGTCGCCGGAGGGGCCAAACCAGTGCTGAACGGGGGCCCCAGTGGTTCTCGCTCGCATCTGAGCGGAGATTGGACGCAGCAAAAAAAAAGGTCAGGGGACGATGGGGGTGAGGGGGGGATGCGGGGGGAGCCACTACAATGGCGTTCCGACTTCTGTTGTATTTTCTTTTTGGAGAACCTCTTTCCCCAGAGGGAGGACACCAACTTGTTCTGGTTGATTTTAAGGGGAAGCTGCCTCAACAAAAAAGGAAAAACGTGATTAACCTGGTGTCTGGATGTTTGAACCCAAAAACTAATACCCTCCAAGCAAATAATATTTGGCGAGGTTTGATGGGAATGTCCCTTTCCTTTGATGTGGGTTCTCGAAGAATGGACACCAAGACATGTTTTTTGTGGTTGGGCCAATGCCAAGGTTTCATTTTGACCAACAAAGAAACTGCTCCTATATCTTCCGCTTGGAATTCGCTCAAAACACACATTTCAACCCAGAAACATGAACTGGGGAGGGGACTAGGGAAGCCCTGGCAACCATGTCCCTGGTCTGACAAGGATGGGGTCACAGGCCTCTTCCTTGAAGGTGAGCCATGCAGCGAAATAGTGATCAAACAAGTCAGTCATTTTCCAGCAGCCCCCAACTAGCCTGTGTCCAACAGTTTCTTGGTACTCTCCAAAAAGCGGTGGTTGGGGGGGTGTTGGTTCCCGTGTTCTTTGATTGTTTTTTTGGGGAAGGAGGGTTCGCTCGAAAGAACTTTCTGAACAACCTCGTGGAAAGGCCCCCGTTTTCGTGACGAGCCGTCGCCGGCACCGGTCGCAGCGGAACGCTTTTTGTAGATCCGCCTGACACCCACCGGCGACGTGACAACTTGGAACACATCTGCTGGAAAACAGTTCCTTGGCAATTTGGAGAAAGAGGTGACTTCAAATGAAAATCCAACTGAGCCACTGGGACCCCTTGATGTTCAACCAAGCCGAAACCAGAAAAGACACTGCGCTTAAGGCTTCACTTCCCGCGTGGCTTGGTCCAAAAAGATCCCAACTCCTTGTGTTTCCCAGATTATTGTCTGTCTAAAAATAGGTGAACCGTTGTTGCATGGATTTAAAGGACCACCAGAGGTCCCAAACTCTCGCCAAGCGGCTCCCACATAGGTGGTGCCCGTGATGGAATTCCCCAAGACCTGAACCAGCAAGCTCACCCCAAAGGTACATAAGAATTCCACCAGCCCCTTGGTAGTTGATGCCATTTTGAGTGGTTGCTGCCAAATAGTTCACTCCGGCCGCAACGTGATGGTTTCAAGAGCAACCAGCCAAAAACAAAGCAAATACAAACGCCTTTCAAGTCCGGAACTCGGGGACTCCCTTTCTGCACAAAATGCATGGGGAAGGGTCCCTTTGAGAAAACAGTACGCCCCGCGATACGTTTCTTAGGAGGCGCCGGGATACAGCATTTTAGCTGAAGCCCTGTTTGTCAGTGGTGAACCTTGTGGTTTTCCTTGAGTAAATATGTGCCAAAAGAGGAAAACCGCGTTTGAAACTCTTAAGGTTCTATCAACGGGCTGCACCGCTTTTGGCAACTAATGTGTTTGATGTTGCGCAGTTTGGGCTCCCTGCTGAAGAAGAGCCCCACGCGTTTCGGGCCAATAGTTCTAACACTAGCCATGTTTGGTGACCCCTGCTTCTGATCAGTTTGGGGAACCCGCCACAAGCGGTTTGCTCCTCAGGGCCATTGCAAAGGGTGGCGGGCCGGGCTTCCATCAGGTCCCAACCAAGGCTCATGCTTACTCCCGACCCCCTTTGGGTTCTCGTGAGGCCCCCAGTCGTCTTTCAGCCCGCATGGGTTGGGCCGAATCACCGCAGGCGAACCTCCAACAGTTGCCCAGGGGTTGATTGGTCGAATGCATGCGGCTACATGGGGGAGTAGCAGAGAAAAAAACAACAAAAGAGAACATACTCATTCCCTTTTGGTTGCCCAAAAGGGGAATGTTGAAAACAAAAGCCTATTTAGCCCGACCTCTGGCCCTGTCAAAAGGAAATATCTTTGTTTCCGAAGGTCCGGCTGTTTGAACAGCCCTCGTTCTTTCCAACCCGGATACGTAAGCAAACACGAGTTGGAGTAGTCTGTTTTGACGCCCCCCCGGCTTACGCAAGTGGCACCCAAAACCAAATGACATGCCAAGGTCAGCAAAGATCTAGTCCAAACCAATGAAGCAACTGTGGGTTTCCAACAGTAGAAAGACCCGGTGACTTTTAGTTCGACCGATGTGTGAAGGTGATAGTGGCTTCACCTTTATTTGCCACGGGCGCCTTCAAAACAACCACCCAACTGGAAACGGGGGCGGGAGGTGTTCCAAATGACGGACCTTCGTTTGGATGACTCTAGTGAGAACCAACAGGAAACCCGGCAGGTTGGGTGTTTTCCTTGGTTGACGTTGGAAGGGTTGGATTTCAACCACTAAACCACAAAAAGCAAAAATGTGTAAAATGTTTCCCAACAACAACAATAGCAAATGGCGTTCATTAACTGGCAAAAGGGATCCGAAAGTGAAGGACCTGCATAGGTTTCCGCTCGTCCCTGGATCGGTGAGCTCTGCCCAAACCCGAATCGCTGCGAGTGTTGTTTGAGGTACAAAGGGGAAATCGCAACCTGAAAGGGTACTCTCAAACAGCTGACGCACACACACATGCACACATGATCAACGCCAAAAGCCAACTGATCTTTAGCCCTACCCTAGTAAAGCTTTCTATAGGCTTTACTACCCCACCCACCCAGCCAGTCACCCACTCACCAACCCACTCAAGGTAGCACCACCTACTCAAACGGCCCACAATGAAATCCCTTTTGGGGGTTCGCTGGAATTCGCTTCGGGATTTCTCTCTCGAGCTAGGGCCTCATTGATGAACACCGGGTTGTTGGACACTACGCCGGCGGTCAGGTGGTTGGGCATGCGGTTGATGGCATCAATCACCTGGCACTGGCACTCACTTGCAACCAGTTTGGACCTGGCAAAAGGTGATCACCTTTCGGAACCTTTACGAAAAACGCACCAACTCAGCACAGCCAAAAGGATAAAAGGTTGGCCTTGAGGTAAGTCTAAGTCCTGCCTTGGTACAAAAGTTGGCAAGGGGATGAGTTGGAACCCGGAACTGAACCAGACCCGGGCCTTGGGGTGCTGGCTGAGGCAATGAGCCCAAACTTCACCATGGTTCCCGAATTGGAAGTGCTGTATGGCACCTCCCAGGTCCCATCTTGGAATGTCTTGGGTTTCCCAAAGCTCCTATCCCAAAGGACCACTCCGCAAACCGCAAAACCGTTATGAAGGAAACTCGAGACAAACAGTCAAGGAAAATATGGGGAGCCCTGAAGGGGGTACCTGCTGAAACATGTGAATCGAGTGGAAAAAAGACAAAGCCCTGGACAGATTCGCAAAGTGACCTGTTACCCTGTTACAGGTGTTAATGTTACAGGTGTTAGGAAAAGAGGACCCGTTTGGGGTCAGCTATCTTTGCGTGGCAAAGGAGCGTGAATCAGGCAACAAAACATCATGCTCTTCGCGTCACATGTCCGAGCACGCTAACAAAAAGCGGTTGAGTGCCCAAAGGTGTTAGGGTGGTTATAAAATGAAGTGCCAGTAACAAAAAAAAAGCCAATGGGGTTTTGAGCGTCTGCTGGTGACCTGTGATTTTTTGAGCTACCCTTTTCGACGTTGATCCAACGGGACACGCGGGAAATCACCTTTGGGTTCAACTCATGTTCTGCCTGACCCACGTACTGGCTCCATTCGACACTTAGGGCAGAACTAAGTATGAACTTACACGAAACATCGATCGAATGGTTGTATGTTGCACCGTTGAGGTCCCCGAACCCCCTCCCCCAAAGCAATGCCACGACTATCTTTGGGCATAGCCCTTACTCCTTTTCTAGGCTGTACCCTTCAAGTCGGTAAGATCCATGAGTCTGGCCATGAACGCTCATACATTCTCATAACACACACACACCCCCCACCAAAAAAAAAAAACATGCTCCTACCCAACAAACACGCGAACCCCCCCCCCCCCCCGCCCACGCCTCCATCATTTTTGGTCTGCTTTCACTCCTACCACGTGCGGGTTCTAAAAAAGGCGGGGGCGGACATTCGAGGCCCGGCCTTTTGCTGCTGTCCCTCCTTGTAATCCACCAGCACCTGCCGAAGCTCCCGCATCGGTCGCTTCGGGGGTCCGATTTCGGGCCTTAGGCACTAGGGCCTTAAGGGCCCTTAAGGACGGTGTGCTTTTGGAATAGATGGCCCTAGTAGGATTAAAACAAATCCAAACCGGTGAAAATAGCAATCTTTATCCAAACAAACCTAATAAGGACACCTATGCTTGGCATACTTGGCATATCCAGGGATCCTGGCACAGATCCTGGCTCAACGACGCAAGGCGTGTGATCAAATTGATGCAGCTGTCAGTGTGCGTACCGAACAAACAGGTACAGATACCCAGGCCTCAAGTTGCCATGGGTTAAAAAGGGACAGCTCTGCTTGGTGGTTCACGCTCAAAGGAATCATCTCCAAACAAACAGTTGAAAACTTGAAATGTCTGATTGTTGGTTTTGGGGTGAGAACTTCTCCGGGAAGTCTGCAAGACAAATTTGGACTCCAACGCAACTGATTGTTAGGCACCTTGCCTTCAGAGGTTCATGTCAGAACTTCGGTTGCCGACTAGTGGATGATGCAGCTTTGCCCGTTGAGGTTCCCAGGCAGGTTGGCAGCCAAATCTGTCTGAACTGTCCTTCTTTCACAGAAACTCACAAGGTGAGACAACACCAAAAAGGACTCAGGATGATTCATTGACACATGGGCCAAACAGAGTCTTTTGCGTCTTTTGGTGGTGGGTCGCCAGGCAACAGATTCCTTTGCCAAGCGCAAAGCTTGACCCCCATTCGAATGTGTCTTTCTTTAGGGGACCCCCCAAGAGTGTTGGCTTTCCTTCAAACCCAACATCCAACCAAAAGGCGGGTCCCTCAAAACACGAGCCACCCAAGTGGAATGTTCCACGCAATGTCTTTGGCGCGGAAGCTTCGAAGTGCCAAAAAGCTCTGCGTGGAGAAATTTCTCCATCCCGCGGACCAGTCACCAGTCACGCTTCAAGTCCAGAAATTGGAGGGAGTGAGGCTCCCCAAAATGTCCTTCAAGAAGCAATGCAAGGAAACTCGCCTTAAACTCGCCCAAGGGTGATCTTCAAACAGGTGAGCCGAAAGGACTTAGAATGACTTAGATCAAGTCATCCCCGGATCTTTCAGCTCGCCCTCGCCAGTTCTCGTCTACGGGTTCTGGCAAGGGGAACCCACAAAGAAACCGCCAGCTGCTTAAGCCCTGGAACATGTAAACGTATGCGCCCAGTTGTGGTAGATCCCCTTTTAGACAAACAGGAAATCCCATAATCTATAGCACATGGCAGGAACCAGGTTGCCGCTGAACCGAGAATCTAGGGCTTGTTCTTAGCCATTGGGTTCTAGGCAGGCCACTCGCCTCACAGAAAAAGGGTTCAAGGAAAACGAGTAGATAGGGAGAACCACCAGAGGGAGAACTCAACGAGAGACACGTGCCACCAGGCCGCAAAGGCAACAAGTTGAATTTCGTTTTTTAATTGTGTGGCTCAAGTGCCACAAAAACAAAAACTATACGAAAACATGTTGCGCGGGGAGGGGGGGGAGGGCTTCGCGCAAAAAGCGCGGAAGGGGTCCAAAAGCTTTTGGCCGGATCCCATGCGCCTGGAAGGGCCCAAAGAGCTCCACGGTGGCGATTTCGAAGCTCGGGGGGTCCTCCAACGCCTCGTCTTGCCACGCCGAAAACAGGACTTCTTCGGGGTGAAATCCGCGCGTTTCACGGAAGGGCGCGGGTCCGGTGACTAAGGGAAGCCCGAAAGGTTGATTCCTGTTGGTTGTCCCTTTTGTTGTTTTACTCAGCAGTTCGGACCCGAATCCAGCAAAGGTGGACTTTGGGCCGTGGGACGGAATATGGAAAACCCAAAAGGGAAATACCAAATGACTCCTCTCGAGGAAGCTCAGTCCAAATCGGCCCTAATGGAATCAGCCAACCAACCAACCGGAGCCGAAAATGACATACTGAAACAGCTCAAGGTTGTCAACAAGGCCTAACGGTTTCATCCTTGTGGGTCTGGTCTGAAACCAAATGCCGAAGTCCCTCAATCTGGGCAAATCCGTATTCTGCGAAATCAGCCCACAAATGCCCCTCCACAAATGCCTCGAACCAAGGTTGCAATTCTCAACCCTTGAAACAAGGGACCCCCTTCAGCAAAGGATCTTCATGGTGTTTTTACCCCATGGGCTCGTAACTTGCGCCTCGATGGGTATTCTGACCGCTGTCGGCTGCACTGCGCCGTACCTGCAGCGAGCTGCCGTCGCACCGGTCTGAGCGCTCGGAAACTGGACATGAGGTGCGCTCATCCTTCATCGGAAGACGTTGAATTTTGATACGCCCCCAATTGTCCAGTTGTCCAACTTGGTGTATGAAATCCCTTTGCTAGACGAATACTAGCTGCCCAAATCAAATGTGAAGATCGGATTTGATTTCGACCCGAAAGTTCGCGGCCACCACGTCATTGCTCAAGGGGTGGACTTGAAGGCCAACCTCCGACCCAGGCACAGACAAGGGGGAACCCAAAAGGCGTAGTGCCAAGAAGTTGGCCCTTTGGGTACAAAGCTCTGACCTGCAAGTTGTTTTTTTTCACCTCAACATAATCCGGGCACTTCTTTGGCACCCAAAGGACCCTACTGGAGAAAGGGTTCCACACCTTCTTTGGGGATACCATTCTTAGAAGCCACAAAACGGATCTAGCCGGGTGGGAACCGCCGAGTCTTTGTCTTCGACCCCCCCCCCCGGTTGTGCTTTCAGGGAATACATTGTATTATTGAATGACAGGAATAGGTCATGGGGTCTTTAAAGTCCCACGGCAAAGGAGAGTCTCACTTCCTGAGTGGGTTGCCCTAAAATGTTCACATGTTATCGCCGCGAAAAAGTGGGCCTCTCAAAATGTCTCAAGACTACCCATGGGTCACAGCACAAGGCCTCTCCTTGGCCACATCTCCCGAATTATTTTTCATCCGCTGCCTCCCTCCTCCTCCTTGCACCCGTTGCTCTCCGTCCCCTCGAATTTGTGATGATCTGCTTCCGCCCCTTCGACGTTTTCAAGCGCGCGGCGTGTCTGGAAGCAACGGCTGTGACACTGCGAGCCATGGCCAACATCTCCAGGCTCTTGGCCCTCATGCCGCAAAGCCGCAAAAGGCCGACCGTTGAAGTGTTCCCGACTCATCGCACCAGACAAAGTTGCTTGTTTCTCCTGGGGAAATCGGAGAAGGGCTCGAGCCCTGGTTTTGCTCCCTTCTAGACCATGGAACAATTCAAGAATCAGGACATCTTTTAACCCAACCGCACATGTCGAAGCACTAGGGTCTGTTCGGTCTCTTATTAAAAAGTGCCCTTTATAATTACTTTGGTTTGGAGGGAAGCCAAAAGAAACGGAAAACAACAATGTCTTTGGCTTTCCCTATTTTGACACATACTCACTTCCTGAGAAAACTGGCCAAAAAACAAGTCCGAACTTTTCTATTTACCCCTGAAATTGCATTTCCAAAAAGTGACTCAAGTCCAAGAACTCAAGGAGTGAGTTAACTGGGTCTCTCTCTTCTGCTCATTGGTAATTACATTGGTTTGCAACTCAGAACCTGACTGGATGGGAAAAAAACTGTCTCAACTGTTGATTTGCCGCCAAAATGGTCTTCCCCAAAAAGTGACTAAAGTGAAAGCAAAATCAGGGAGGTAGAACTAGGCCCTCCAGTAGAGAGGTTAGAATACGGGCACCCGTCTTTCTGTAGTCTATTTTAGGTAGTACGGGAACCCAAAAACCCAAAAAAGAAACGGTCAAAGGGCACCTAGCTGGGGGATCTACATAAGCAAACCCGTTCCACCCTCATGCCCGCGTGCCGATTCGTGCCGAGCGCGCCTCTCGGGGATCTGATGGCCCTCCAGGGCCTTGCCGCCGAAGGCGAGGGAGGCCCCGGGGATGGAGAGCACGCGGTTCATGTGCTCCAGGAACTTCTCCTGAGGTTCAGAGAGCTCTTAGCAATAGGTTAAAAGATGTCGCGTCAGGACCTTTTCTCCTGAGAGCACGGCGTTTGGGGGAATTTGGGGGAAAAATCGACGTCAAAATCTCCTGGGGGGGCGTGGGTTTGGGGGAGGGGGGGGTACCAAATAGATGGTGTGGCCTTTTCGGAAAATACCTGGATGGCCAGTTGCTGCTGTCTTCCATGCACTTTGCCCCAAAAACCAGCAACAGTGACTGAAAAAAACAGCAACTTGGCTATCTAGGTAGACGTCAAATTCTCTTGGGGCGCGGGTTTTCGGAGAGGGGGTACCAAATAGATGGGTTTTCCGTGGTAAATGGGGCATGGAACCCATCTAAACCAGTGAAACCCCATCGATGTTTAAACAAACTAATGTAAAAAAGGACACCTATGCTCCTGACATTCATTTCGCTCCCAATGGTGGTGAGCCTCCAAATCCAAACCATCATGCATGGCACAAGTCGATGTTTCTCAATAGCAAAGTGCTGTTACACCTGAAGAAAGAACCAAACTAAATGTGCTTCTGAAAGGAATCAGTGCCCTAAAATTGTTGGCGTTGTTTTGGTATCCCTTCCAATGCCAATCAGGAGGGGTCCACCATTTTGAGAAACTCGCTGTCCTAAACACAAGCAATCTCTTCTCCTGCGCACTTCAAAGTCTAACTGTATAAGTTGATGAATCCTTTGCCATGTCGAACCCCTGCCGCAACTTGAAAATGGTACCCTCTGCAAAAACACACACACAACACACACACACACAACACACACACACACAACACACACACACACATACACCCTCACTTTCTGATAGCAACCAAGTAGCCCCCCCGATTGATTCATCATGTATTGTACCTGTATTAACCACTAACAAAGTCAAACAAAACACACACGTTGCCAAAGGCCCCTGTGGCCCTGGGAAAAAGGGCACTGCTTTTAAGTTGGTTGGCACCCCCTCAACCACAAAGCAAATGAGGCGCAGGGGGGAACCTTTCCGTGCTATACCCAAGCTAGTCGTCTCCTAGGAACAGCGCTTTTTTTTCCCAGCCAAAGAAAGAAAAACAGCCCCCCCATTGCTTTCTCGTGAATGTCCCGTTTTTTCTTGTGTTTTTTTTGTTTTTCGGGAAAACCCGGATCCACCCGGAGATCCACCCGGAATCGCCGGCCGCCAGCCCATTCTCCCGGCTTCCCGTTTTGTTCAGGCGCCCGAATCCACGCCGGAGATCCACCCGGAAATCGCCCGACCGACGCAGAGCCCGCCCAAAAAACCAACGCAAAACGAAGCGAGGCGCCGTGGGCCAGGTGAGCACCGGGCAGTTGGTGAGCTTCTCGAGGCTCCGCTGGCCCGCCAGCTTCGCCAAGCGCCCCACGACGTCCACCTGGCAGATCCTTCCGATGGCTAGCTCGGGGGGTGGGAAATTCACATCCCATCTACCCACAGGAAGGGTTCGGAGCTCGGACACCCTTCGCGTTTTTGTGCTCTCGGCTTTAGGGCTGGCTTCCGTCCGCGGTACTCTCGCAGCTTTTTTCTTCTAGGTGGCTTGGCGCCGAGTCAGCGGGGGTTGGCGGTGACACGGAGGAGCTTCTCGTCTACCCTCTGCAAGGACCGGTTCAAAGAAAAATCTAAATCCAAACCCACCAATCCAAACCGCCAAGGGTAACCAAACACCTTTCGCCGGGGAAACCCGATTTGGGGCGATCTGGGTGTGTTTTCAAACAGACCCCATATGGTTGTCTGAACATAGGGGACCCAACATGGTGTGTGCCGGTGGTTTCTCTTAGCCGACCCATCTGACAGTCGTTGGGGTGGCAAAACACGGAATGCCAACTGCCAATGGTCCCAGGCAAAGAACAAATCAAAGGCATGGCTGGTCACCTCGACATCAAAAGAACCAAACACAAACAACTCAAACCAAGAACTCGGACAAGCACTAAAGGACGCAGTCAAAAACATGTAAATCAAACACTGTGAAGAGAGTCATTGCTTCTCTGCTTTCTGCCAGGCGGCGTCAGGCGCTGTCCAGTTCCTCAAGGCGAGTGGACAGGCCAACAAGCCGCCGGATCGACCCACCACACGGTTAAGCATGTCCTCTTTAAATATCACACATAAAAACGTCCAACCCAACATTGCCCAAATGCTTGTCGAACACGCACCTGGGCTATTACTCAGGTGTCCTTAGGGCGGAAAATCATTGCTATCACCCGGATGAAGCAACTTTCAAACACCGGCTTCGAAATGAGGTGGGTTCCTTGTGGCTTCCCTTTACCACCCAAAAAAGCATACCGACTCACAAAACCCAACGCGCGTCAAGCACGTGGTTGCGTCGTGATGTTGCGTTCCAAACCCTGGGCTCCATGTAGTTCGGTGGGTTTGGGGAGGCTCGGGGAACTTTTTTGGCCTCTGCCAAGGGAAACGGCCGCACCTCAGTTGCAACCAGTTTGGACCTAGGAATGGCCAACGCACCACTCTTTGGGGAAGGTCGACATTAGGACCACAAAACGGCAACACCGACAGGCCTTTCTCGGCCGGCATGGGCTGACCCGCCCGAGGCTTTACAGATTTCTTCAGGTCCATTCGCTTGGGTGGGAGACTTGCTGGTGCTCAGTCGGGACTGAGTAAACAAACCCATTCCCTATTCAAGGAAACGATAGGGGATGGTTCATAGAGCACCAGCCAGGAAACCAGAAATCTGGGCTGCCAACCAGATATCCGCCCAGGGATTCCCTTCAAGGAAACCATAGGGGAGGGTTTGGACATCCTCTTTTCCGCCCAACCAGATATAGGGGACTTCTCCTAGGGGTCATTCCATTTCTAATTTTCTATGGCACCAGCCAGGAAAACCGACATGTGAGCAAGGCCCAGCCGACCTCAAATCCCAAGGCGCTCGTGCATGAAGAGCATGGACTGTGCGCTGCACTTCTGGCCCGCGAAGCCGTAGGCGTCGTGGTCCGCCTGCCAGGCCACGTACTCCACGTCTGCCACGTCCTCGGCCCATCGGCGACACGCACCGAACCGCGGCCTTGGGCGGCTCGTCTCTGTTTGGAGTTGGTAAAAACCCCTGTTTTTGAGTGGCTTAGGAAAACCAACAGGACAACCGCAATGTTCTTGTTGCGGTTTTGAAGGGAATCCAGAAAAGCAAACCCTCCCATTGGGGGCTCCCAATGGGGACCTGTGGACCTGATAGGTTGGTCGGGGAATGGCCTTGCAAGTAGACACGCGGGACCTGACAAATATTTGGGGCTTGCAGCTCGCCTTGAACCTGGCAACAAATATATGAACTGTTTGGTCTAGACCAAACGAAGAAACTGGCAAAAAGTTTAATTAGTACTCGGTTTGGAAAGCGAGCAGGTAAGCCAAGCACCAGGGCGATCAACCACTCACAAGATCCGAAAGAACCTCGCAAAAGGGTTGATAAGCCAAGGATAAATTCGGACACAATGATTTTCCACAACCGCCTACACCCTTTAAAACCTCGCAACCAAACGACATAAGGCCTCATGGGCATCATGTCGCTTCTGCTATCCCTTGAATGTGAACATCGGATTGAGGCTTCAAGCCACTCCTCTGCAAAAAACTTGGCCCAAAGAAAAGCACATTTCCAGGCTCTTCACATTCAATGAGCTACCCAAAAGTATCATGTTGGAGGAGACCGCAGTAGCTTGATTTGGGTAGCTTCGCAGTAGCTTGATTTGTGTAGCTTCCAAAGTCTCCAAGTGTCAAACTTTACACCCACTAAAATGGTCCAAACCCAGAAAGTCTTAAGATCATTAACTCCGGAAGTGAGAAATTCTTGGCCACCGGCTCGGGAGCTTCGTTTAAGAACCAAAGGTCTCCGGCCGAGTCTCGGGGCCCAAGATCTTCCAGTCGAAGCCTGCGTCCTCCAGCTTTACCTCGCGAGCGGATGGAGGACATGGGGTGGGGTTGGGGGTGGGGTGGGGGTGGTGGGTTGGGGGTGGGGGGGGGGGTGGGGTGGGGTGGGGTGGGGGTGGGGTGGTGGGGTGGGGTGGGGTGGGGTGGGGTGGGGTGGGGTGGGGTGGGGTGGGGTGGGGTGGGGTGGGGTGGGGTGGGGTGGGGTGGGGTGGGGTGGGGTGGGGTGGGGTGGGGTGGGGTGGGGTGGGGTGGGGTGGGGTGGGGTGGGGTGGGGTGGGGTGGGGTGGGGTGGGGTGGGGTGGGGTGGGGTGGGGTGGGGTGGGGTGGGGTGGGGTGGGGTGGGGTGGGGTGGGGTGGGGTGGGGTGGGGTGGGGTGGGGTGGGGTGGGGTGGGGTGGGGTGGGTTGGGGGTGAGACGCCACAGCCTAGACCACGATCATCTCGACTCACATGGTTGCGTGCAAATATTGTGGATCGCCAGGGTTATGTTCCACTAGGCGTCAAACATGACCAGGGCTTGCAAGGCTCTGCGTAAACACACATGCTCACACAGACACACAGACACACAGACACACAGACACACAGACACACAGACACACAGACACACAGACACAGACACACAGACACACAGACACACAGACACACAGACACACAGACACACAGACACACAGACACAGAGACACAGAGACACAGAGACACAGAGACACAGAGACACAGAGACACAGAGACACAGAGACACAGAGACACAGAGACACAGACACAGACACAGAGACACAGAGACACAGAGACACAGACAGACACAGAGACACAGAGACACAGAGACACAGAGACACAGAGACACAGAGACACAGAGACCCAGAGACACAGAGACACAGAGACACAGAGACACAGAGACACAGAGACACAGAGACACAGAGACACAGAGACACAGAGACACAGAGACACAGAGACACAGAGCCACAGAGACACAGAGACACAGAGACACAGAGACACAGAGACACAGAGACACAGAGACACAGAGACACAGAGACACAGCGACACAGAGACACACGCAGTCACAAGCAGACACACGCAGTCACACGCGAGACACGCGACACACACAGACACACACAGACGCACACAGACACACACAGACACACACAGACACACACAGACACACACAGACACACACAGACACACACAGACACACACAGACACACACAGGACACACACAGACACACACAGACACACACAGACACACACAGACACACACACAGACACACACACACAGACACACACACAGACACACACACACAGACACACACACACACAGACACACAAACACAGACACACACACACACACACACACACAAACAAACACAGACACACACACACACACACAGACACACACACACAGTCACACACACAGGACACACACACAGGAACACACACACACTCAACACACAGCCATCCACACACACAGGACACACACACACACCACCAGACACACACACGGAACATCACTACAAC